CCTGAATTACTTCCGTAGATTAGCCGTCCTAGAATGTCTCTACAATGATAAACAAACCAATGTGTAATAGGAAAGTCTTTTGAAACATCGTCCATTCTACCTGAATTACTTCCGTAGATTAGTCCTCCTAGAATGTCTCTACAATGATAAACAAACCAATGTGTAATAGGGAAGTATTTTGAAACATCGTCCATTCTACCTGAAGTACTTCCGTAGATTAGCCGTCCTAGAATGTCTGTACAATGATAAACAAACCAATGTGTAATAGGGAAGTCTTTTGAAACATCGTCCATTCTACCTGAATTACTTCCGTAGATTAGTCCTCCTAGAATGTCTCTACAAGTGTCACTCTGAACTAGGCAGTTAGTACCCATTTCACCTTTACTTGTTCTTCGAGAATGGTTTTATAGTGAATAAACAACGCTTACAGTAAACATAGTAGGGGGATCAATACAAGTTTGTGGCTGCATCTTAGCCAACGGTGATTATGTTTTACACCCTGATGTGGCTGCATCTTAGCCAACGGTGATTGCGTTTTATACCCTGATGTGGCTGCATCTTAGCCAAAAGTGATCATGTTTTCCATCCTGATGTTGCTGCATCTTATCCAACGGTGATTGCGTTTTATAGTTTGATGTGGCTGCATCTTAACCAACGGTGATTATGTTTTCCACCCTGATGTGGCTGCATCTTAGCCAACAGTGATTATGTTTTCCACCCTGATGTGGCTGAATCTTAGCCAACAGTAATTATGTTTTACATCCTGATGTGGCTGCATCTTATCCAACGGCGATTGCGTTTTATAATTTGATGTGGCTGCATCTTAGCCAACGGTGATTGCGTTTTCCACCCTGATGTGGCTGCATCTTAGCCAACAGTGATTATGTTTTACATCCTGATGTGGCTGCATCTTAGCCAACAGTGATTATGTTTTCCATCCTGATGTTGCTGCATCTTAGCCAACGGTGATTTTGTTTTAGGCCCCGATTTCTAACAAGAACGGTCAAACTCAGGTCCATCATACCACTCATACAGGAACACGACACAGGAGGGGACTCACTTTCCAACTAGACAATAATTCTAAGCATACAACAAGTGTGCTGTGATGATATATTCACGGTCAAGAGGTCGATGGAACACTCGTAGCAAGGTCCCGATATGAACATTGTCAATGCTGCATTGACTTATACAGAAAACCAAGGATATTGAATGGCAACCAGACAACTTGACAAGATTTGGGGAAGTAATAAAGGACGTTGGGAACAGATAACCAATCTGGCAACGTAAACACAAGGTGTAACGCTAAGGGCTTACATACAAAACAGTAAATACATTTCACAAGTGTTTCTTTCTTTTACATTTTATGTAATAAAGTATTGTACCATTAATAACGAATTGCCATTTGTGACTCCTGTATCTGTAGCATTTGGGTATTTCCATGATTATTTCCACTACTATATGTAAAAAAGGAAATAAATTTGGGACAAATAACACAAAGATTGTCTGTTTGCTTGTTTTATTGCAAAGCCACATTGAGCTATCTGCTGTGTCTACCGCGGGAGTCGAACTCCAGATGTTAGCGTTGCAAACCCGTAGACATACCACTGTCTCACCAGTGGACAACACAAAGAAACATAGAAGGATGTAGGACATTATTTACATCACTAAGGGAACAAATTATCACAGAAAATGTTTCATTTTATTACTAGTAATAAAACGAACCCACAAACCATAAAATATTTCTAATAATAAATTTATAGAGAAATATATAGAATATTAATTTCAATATTTACATTATATATATCTCCATATTTATAAAAGAAACAACCATGTAATTAATATTCCTGAAGATCCATTAAATACCCTCTTTCCCCCTTTTTATTTTGGCCCGGCATGGCTAGGTGGCTAGGGCGCTCTACTCGTAATCTGTGGGTCGCGGGTTCGAATTCCCATCCAATCAAACATACTCGCCCTTT